TAAAAAAGATATCACCGCGGGAAGGGGGGCGATGATAACTTCCTCAATGGCTCAAGGGGGCGTTTCTTTCAAAAAGGTTAAGAACCACTGAGTTAATCCAAGCAAAAGCAAACCTTCATCATCTGCATTTCTTAAACCTCAAAAAATAAGAAAAATCTTCTAATACATAAACAACAGTGTCAAAAATCTACTGTCTTTGTCCAACCAAGAAACACACAAAGAAAGGAATTTATGAAAAAAATTGAAGAACACTGGTAAGATGTCCCAGTCATAGAAACAAAGCAGAATAAAACAGCTGTGCTCTGCCTCTTTTCTCCTTCAAAGGAGAAGGAGGAGAGAAAGTGAGAATGTAGACACACTGGCAAGTAATAACAACAGGAAGAGGAGTAATTACTAGTCCCCCATTGTCTTTTTGACTGAGATAAGATCAGAACTGGTAACTTGCTGCTACAGTATTTCAACTTGCAATACTGTATCTGGCCACCTCTCATCATACTAGGTCAAACAAGCTGTTGGAAAGGAGGAAAACATGCAGTGCAAAATGCTAAAGGCAGCAGTATTACCACTAACTATAAATTAAGCACATAATTGATTTTTTTCTTTAAAAAAAGAAAACAGTATGGTACCGCTGCTCACTAATAGCATCAGCACATTAACGACTACCCATGATTCATTTGTAGCATTCCAAACCTGATTAATGTCAGGTCAAGTTTAACATATGACAAGGTTTATTAGTAATGCTTTGCTATCCCACAGCTTGTCAGTCTTTCACAGCGAGCGCCATCTGTTACATTAGGGAATAACACTTGAAGTACTGGGTGACTCTGAATTACTGCAAGTCAGTACAGAATGCTTTCAGAGTTGCCCAGGTCAGTAAACCGAGAATATTTGATGCTACTACAGTACAAGGTCACTTGATTACTTTAAAGGCAACACATTTTACTACATGTTGCTTTTGTTTTCCAGGAAATAACCGTCACAAAATATGAAACATATTAATTTCATATTCTATGTTGCCGATTTCAGACACTGATGACTGAGCTTGTTTTCACAGTCAACAACTTATCTTAAATTGTAAGGCTGGGATTTGAGTCATGAAATTGTTGAAAGGGCAGTATTCCCCATGGCTCGCTGAGTATGCCCTGAGGCAAGATGCTCCATACTTAATAAATGGCTGCCAGATGGACACTGAAGTCTCTGCGGTCATACCACAAAATATTCTAAAATACCCTTGGTGATGTCTTGATGAACTGAATGGAGCATCTTTAAAGTGCTAAAATATTCTTCATAAGCTTGCCAAACAACCCTCTAACAACCATCCAACAAGATGCCCTAGGCATGTCTATTTAAAGGTCAAAATTGTGTTTACTATGAGGAAGGTATGTATAGAATTGCCTTATATACCTGAGGAGCCGTGTGACTTTCTAGAACAGAAAGTCATCACACACTAGGAAACCAATAATGAAACTCCCATGGTAAACCCTAACCCATGAAAGCCAAGATTGCTTCAGAATATAGAGGGCTTCATCATATTTAATACATCCAAAATAACATCCCCAAACATATTTGACAACAATATTTGTATCAATAATTTCAAAAGCTTTTCAGTGTTACTTTTTTAAAAAGCAAAATTCTGTCATTAATTCTTCCAGATGTTTTCAAGTGCCACTCAAACAAGAAAAACAAATACGTCTAAGAAGATTTTTCCATATGATGTTAAAACACACTTCAAAAGGAACTGATATTCTTGAGGGCACGGAGGACTAATTTGAAGAAAATGTTTTTCAGGATTTAATTATCTGTGCATTTCAAGTTTTATCAGTTAATGAGAAATAAATAATAGTTGCATTCAAACGTAACAGTAAACTGCAGTTTAGCTTTGCATGGAAAAGCAGCAGCATACTCTCCTCCTCCAGTGCAAAAGCAAAAAGGAATTTGGAAGCCTTCATTTCCATTTCAGATGAACTGTAAACAGCTGTGACATCCAAACCTATTCACTTAAAAATTATTCTAAATAAATATGTCCCC